TTCTATAAGTGTAGGGCCCGGTTGTTGAGGTGTGCTTCCTTCTTGACTAAAAGCTTGTATAAGAAATATGGGTTAGCTCAAATATGTACTAAGTATGATAGCCATGCAAAAACTATGCTTAAAAGGGACATTTTAGTTGAAAACTATGCATTTAACAAGTTTGAGAATAATCATGCATCTTTAGTATAAACACCTAAGACATAAGCATATTCATCATGTAAGTCATTAGAACATAATAGAGCCATCATGAAAGTAACCTTAAGTTATACTTGTGCAATGTATGAATGGGATCCCATAATACCAGAGGCCACCATAACATACTTACCATCCTTTTTTCTCATCTTTAGTCAATAATCATAGATAAGGAACATTCACATTTAATAAGGCATGACAAGAAAAGAAACTCATAATAACAATCCAAGTTATGCATTCTTCATTACCTTAAGCCTTTAAGTCAACATTCTCATTTAGCATCATTATGAACACATTCCTTTCATTAGACATTAAGACATTAGAGAAACATACCATTGCCCTCTAAAAACCTACTCGTGTAATGCATGGATGGAACCCCATACTACCACCCACACTTCATAGAACCTCTCAAGTAACCAAAGAACATAACTCACATGATGGGAATAAGCATTTACCGCTATAGACCATGTGAGAAACTCATGGAATCCGTTGTCTATCCCACATCGTAAAGGGTTGGTCTACTTGCCTAAGGTAGGACCGATAATATTTTAGCTTAGGTGGATCCACTAGCTAATAACCTATATAGGCACATAGTTATGGGATAAGGAAGATGTTCATTGAAACCCGGCCTAAACATGGGGAGATCTTCCATTTTTCCATATCCACTCGGTGCTAAGCTTTAAATTCCCATAGAGTATATCATTACTTTAACATTATTACACATGAGAGGGTGCCATTGGCCTACCGATCCAAGGTACATTGATTCACACATGAAAGGGAGTCATAAGCCTACCGATCTAAGGTACATTATTTAACACATGAAAAGGCGCCATAAGCCAACTGATTAAAGGTACATTATTTGGAAATCTCATTGAATCCTCATGAAAGGGTGCCATAAGCCTACCGATTCAAGGTTTATCATTATCATTCATGGAAGGGTGCCATAGGCCTACCGATCCAAAGTTCATCATTATTATACATGGAAGGCTGCCATTAGCCTACCAATCCAAGACACATCATTAGAATACTTCATTAATCATTTATGAAAGGGCTACCACCATTAGGTCTATCGATTCAAAGTTCATTAAGTTAAGATACTTTAGGTACACAAGAAGAGGATGCCCTAAGCCTACCAATTCAAAGTACATCAATCAAGATCACTTTCATTTACACAAGATGAGGATGCCCTAAGCCTACCATTTCAAGGTATAACATTACATTGAAGAAACCTTTCACAACATATCATGATCATTCACATGTGTATAATTGAGAATAACCTTTCAATAGTAACACAATTGCATTGTAGTCATGATCACATAACTTTCATTGAAATCACAAAGCATATACATAAGCATCATGATTATACATCAATCTTCATAATTTGCCCTTCAAGGCCATGAATCACAATTCACCAACACACCTAGAATACTACAATTTTGGAATTAATAATGACATAATTCAAGTAACTAAACCATTACAAGATCAATTACATAACATTCATCTTACTACAATTCACCCACACCAAAGTCACAAATTAGGGTTATGGGGAAATCATGGATTCATGGGGGATTTTATCTTAAAACCATCATAAAATAGAAATTCAATCTCAATAAATGATAATTAAACATTTGAAAATGTTTTGAGAAAGAATCCATGACCTAGAATGAAAACCCTTAGTTTTGGAGAAATTCCAACTTTGAAATTGAAGATTTGAGGACTTCATGGATGGACAGTTAACCATGAATCAAAACTATCATACCTTAATTCAAGATTCCTATTGAAATTGTGTGGAAAAGTTCAGTCCTTGATCCCTAGACCTTGACCTCTTCTTTTTCTTGAATGGATTTTTAGAGAGATTTATTTGGAGAAGAGTTGGTTACTTATTTTGGGTTTGGGAATTATGAAGTGAAAAAGGGTAGTTAATAGTTTAAAAGGTATTAAATAATTGAAATAAAACAATATAAAACGACCCCTAACTTAACTAACCACCCTAGGAATTTACCACTTTGTCCCTCACTTGGCCGAATTGGGCAGCATCTCAAGACCCCATCCACGACCCCCACCTACGGGACGTGGATGGCCCCACGACCCCCACCTACGGTACGTGGATGGCCCCACGACCCCCACCTACGGGGAATGGGTGCCCTTTTCATGGGTTGGCTGCCTTTTGGCAGATTTTGGGTTCTAGGGGATTAGGATTAGGGTCCTCTTTAAGGACCCTTGGTTAGTCCTTGAGGGGTCGTACCTTGACGTTTAACCCCTAAACCACTCCACCTAAGCTCGGGAACATATTTTACAACTTAAACTCCACATCAAACTGAACAACTCACTCGTAAGGTTCTAGTTTCACCTACTAGTTTTCCGGGTCGTTACATTATCTCCCCCTTGGGAACATTCATCATCGAATGACACTTTAACCACTTTACGAAATTAATGACTCAAGACTAGCAGCCCATTATGCATGAAACATCATAACGATGCACCTTTCAAAGGAGAAAACATCAACTCCATCTCAATACGCTCAATGCAACACAAGGAAGTAGGAACTACATCTACAAACCCATTATGCATGAAAACTTCAACATTTATCATTTCATTGGAGGAATTACCTTCTCCAACTCAATTCATGCTCATCATAACATCATTAAGCAAATTATGCAATTACTCCCAAAAGCACATTTAAGCATGTTCAACATTTCATCTCATGAAGCATATAAGCAACTCATACTAGATGCACATCAACATGAGAAACATAAATCATTAAAACTCATTTTCTCATTAACCATGAATTCATCAAGAACATGCATATCATAAGGAGACCATGGATACACATAATCACACATGATTCCAAAACATTAAACATGCCATAAAGAACTCTTGGTCTCAAGCTTGAATAGGAATAGAAGGAAGAGATAAGGATATCGGAACTCTCAATAACCTTGCCTTCTAAGCATACCATGTCCCCCTTGGGAGTAAACCCCATACTAAGTCTAACATGAAAATAACATAGGGACCTTAATAAATCATTCACAACTATAAGGAACTATCAACATACCGGTGCCTTCATCTGGAAGGGCTCCTTTGTCCTCTCTAGACCAAAGTGCATAGAAACGACCATAATTTGGAGGAATAGGAACCGTACCATTAGGAGAAGCTTGCTTGGCACCTCTTCCCTTTTCCAAGAGTGTAGGGCAATCTTTCACTTGATGGTCACTCTTTCTACAACCATAACACCTATTTGTACCGGCTAGGCACTTCTCATGGTGCCTCTTTCCACAATTAGAGTAAGTAGGTTTAGGAAATGGAGACCAATTACCTTTCTCTTGGGTAACACTAGGAGTGCTTGAAGAATCTTGGTTAGAAGATCTCTTTTCGAACCTTGGTTGACCTTGTTCATTGGACCTAGATCTCTTCATCTCCCTATTCTTTTTCTAAAGTCTGGACTCCTCAATTTGTTAGGCATATACCATAAGCCTAGAAATATTCATGTGATCATGGAGGATTGTTGTACGACATTCTTCCTCAACTAAGTCGGACACACCCGTCACATATCTACTCATCTCATCCCTCGGATTCGACACCAAAGATGGAGCATACTTAGACAATAGGGTAAATTTCAAAGAATACTCTTGCACACTCATGCTACCTTGCCTAAGGTTGATAAACTCTTCCATATTAACTTCCCTCTTCTCACAAGAAAAGAACCTATCAAGGAATGCTTTCTTAAATACCTCCCAATCTATGGGACCCACTCCTACCGGCCTATAACTCTTCCATTGAGTAAACAAAACTTGGGTAACATCCTTCAATTGATAAGTGGCTAGTTTCGCTTTTTCTACCGAAGTGACCCCCATAGCATCAACTACCTTATACACCTCATCCACAAATTCTTGGGGATCCTCCCCCACCTTGGAACCAAGAAACACCGGAGGATTCATCCTCACAAAGTCCATCAACCTAGAAGTCATTGTGCTCACATTAGGGTTCACATGACTCTCAACACCCCTATTGTCTTGGGCCGTCATATCTTGGGCTTGAGTAGTTACGGCTTGAGCCATCATAAAAGTAACCCTAAGTTATACTTGTGCAATGTATGAATAACATCCCATAATCACTACAAGAAAAGGCTTTATTTAAGACCAACATTTAATGACTAGCTAATTATCTCGTCCTTAAAAGTACATGTATAGAGAGGAGATTATATTCTAGTCCCTAATTCTATGTTTTATTGTGAAGGTACTAAATCTAGTCTATAAATAAATTAGTATCTGGTCCCAAATTACAACTTGAGAGTGGGAGCGGGAGAAAAGTGCTCTCAAACGTACATTAAAAAAATAAAGTTGAAAGATATATTTTCCCTAAACCTCATCAGGCACTAAAAGTGAGAATTAAAATTCTTAAAAAATAAAACAAAAACTCTTTGTATTTTAATACATACTATCTCGTTTTTATATTGTGCCCTAGCAGCAGCTCTTCTACAAATCGCTATTCTCAGCCAACACTCAGCAAAGAATGGAGTTTGTAGTTCATCACGACAACTAGCTAGCCCAAAACAGAGAAAGCACAACAGTTTGCCCAAATCTATTTTCGTCTTCTCTAATCTTGGGTTTGCCTCCTCTTCTGCAAGTTTATCTTTTTCTTTTCTAAATTTGCTTTGCTAAAGTAACTCTTCATCTTCTTCTTCTCTTGCACAATCTGTTGATAATTTATTTGTGCAATTATTTAAATATTATTGATTTGGGAGTCCTAGTTGAGGGAGTAGTCATTTTTTTTTTTAATTTGTACAATATGTGAAAGATTGCCGAGTTGGAATTCCTAGTTTGAGTGTGTATGATGTTTGGCTTGATCACATACAAACTTTTGTTACTTCTTGTTGTATTTCTTACTACTGTTTATCTCATGAAATCACACTACTATGTTCTTATCATTGTTGTTGAAACCTTAGTTTTCATAATCTATTATATTCAATAAGCAATTTGGTTTGCAACTAGTTCAAGTTCATCTCTTGTCAATCTCAAACAGTAGATGTTCTTTCCTCTTCAATTTACTACATCTACTCTTACTATTATTAAAGTTGGAACAAACTAATAGAAATTTACCAGAGTATATATGTTAAGTAGAATATTATATAGGTTTTGAATGTAGATAAGATGCTCTGTCATTGTTGTTGTACTCTTTCTTAATGGCAGTTCGTGGCTAATCACAAATTTAAGCCAACTGTCAATAAAAATGTTGTAGCTTTTCAAAATAGAGAAAGGCAAGTTAAAAGTGATGAGTATATAAGACTTCTTAAGTGTGAATCCGAGTAGATATTTAAAAACAAATGAGCCTTTTGTTGTAGCAGATCAAGCATCTCAAGTGTTATATGCTAATTATAATTCCCAAAAAGATTGTGATGTAGTGAAGAAGACTCCACCTCGTGATTCAAATGGTTGATGATGTTCTAGATGACTTAGAAAATCTTTCACAAATTAAACGGAAAGGAACTAATGATGTAAAGTATCTTCTATTAATTAATATGTTTGTTGTTACCCATTCTTACAGGCATGCCTTTATTATCACGCAGGCTGCTTATTGAGGGAAAAGTCGTGAGACTGATTTCTCCTTTTGATTCTCGATCAAGGTGTTTGTGTTTTGTAGGGAATAATAATACACTTTAATTATGCCACACTAAAAACAACACTTTTAAAAAGGCGTATTTTGATAATTACTTATTTGTTGTATGGGAAAATTATAATTTATAGTACTCTTTGTATAGTTTTGACATTTTGCAGAGCTCAACTTAAAAACCCCATTTTGTTAATGTGTTAACTGTTGTTAGTCTTCTTTGTAGGGCTAACCAAGGGATGAGCTGATGTTTACCAGATTTCCATTTTCTATAGTGAATTTCTTCCATGTAGTTACAGGATATTGTGGAAAAAATTATTTATAAGCACTCTTTATGTTGAACCAATCACAGCTGATGAACCTGTCCAGATCAATTTAATAGAGAGTTCCAATAGCTAATAAGGATCTTGCATCCAAAACTTTTTTAACCACCTAACCAGATTGTTTAGGTGTAGGGACATTATCTATATAGTTATTTTTTATGTAAAAGTTATGAATCCTTAACTGGTTTTTCTTCTTTGCTATAGTCCACTACAACTTTAGTATTCCAACCTTATTCCAATTTGAGACTTGGTCGAAGAGAATAATTTTTGATTGAATAGAATATTTTTTATTGATAACACTTGTAAGTATTGAAAAAAACAAATAACTAAATTAGCTCGTAGTTGTTCTTACTCACCTATCTCTCTTTTCAGTTGTGGTTTGACCGCCTTCTTATTCCAAATAGCCTATGTACTCTCCTCCATGTATGATTTCTTGCTATTCAAACTACTTCTCATAACATAGTAATATAGTTAGCACTATTGATAAGGGATGAGAACAAAGACTTACAAACCTTACCATGTCTTCTAATTAAGGAAACAAAGTGATACATAAGAACTATGTGGTTCTTGAGAAAGAGTATATGCAAGTTAATACTCTATTTCCTTCTTCTACTAATAAAGTTAAGCAATACACCCAAAGAGAAGAAACAAGTAAGTTTTTTCATATCTATTTAGATTTTAAGTCAGCTTCTTGATTGTCTCTGCTATTTTATATTGTGTTTCTTTAGATTTCTTAAGTATCTGCTGATTACGCTTTGTTGTAATTTTCTTTCTTGTTCAAGTTTGGTTACTGTTTCATGGCCAGTATAAGGATTCCAGAATAGCCTGAATACTTTTCTAGTTCAACCTTTTCTTGTGATTTTGATCCTAACTCGGACTTCTGATCGTTTAAACTAAAACTTGCTTCTGTTCTAATTTAAGTTCAAGACTCTTGGTTGTTTAAATCTCCCTTTTTGTACTCGTCTAAGCTCTGTTTCTTTGCTACTCGTCATAACTTAGTATCTCATGATTGGTTTTCAACAAGACTTTTCGATTCATATGCACTCTTTACGTGGTTATGAAAATAATCAATGGTTCCATTTTGTTTATAATGTATGATTATTAGTTGATTCGAGGTTCTGTAGTTTACAATTTGACAAATATCCTGATTTGCCAAGTTTAGTATCCCATGGCTGCATACATGAACTTCTTGTTGAATTATTTCGAAGATTATAGATTACATTTGATAGATTGAGTTGTATGTTTCCAGTAGCAACACTCTTGATTACATCTTTTTCTCCCTTAAGATTGTTTATCATTCCTCTCTTGGGAAAATCCTAATTTTAAGTTCAATTTTAGTTGTGATATTTAGATATGAAACTTTTTTTTAACTTGGTAACTTTTCTTAGTGAAACTTTTAATTTGCAATATTGGACTTCAGTTTTTGTCTTTGAGCTTTTGTTTTGTAGCTTTGTGTCAACCAAAATGGATGATTTTGTGGTAGTCATGTTTCAACCGAATGACCATTGACATATTTTGCTAACAAAGTAAGTGAGCATATACCCATATTGATTTACATATAGTCGTTTAAATGGTTATTGTAAGGCTGAACTGTTAGGAAACTTATAAGAGGGTTGATCGTGTTTGAATGCTTTCTTCCCTTGTGAGGTCCTTTGCTGGGTGATTTTATTCTCTCAATTGGTGGTTGTTTGATTACCTATAGCCTTTGGCTCTCAATTATTGGACCAATTCTTTATAGCTCGATTTATTTGTGTCATGATGCATATCTTTGCTTGGCTTTTGTGAGAACAATTTAATGATGTAATTGAAAGAAAAAACCTAGTTCCCCAACTACATACATAGTGAAATAGCTAATGAAAAAACTAGATCCCTGTTAATAGGCATGATTGAACAGATCATTATGCAAGAATCATATAGATCTGATTCATGATACATAGCTGAAGTTGATTCCTCTGTCTTTTATTTCCTACACAGCTATATGTACTTGTCCTTCTCATCTATTTTTTATTTTCAGTACACCTGCATGTTAACTCTTCTTCCTCTGTTTTTTATTTTATACAAAGTTGCACAAACGTCTTCTTCTATTTTCTATTTTCTAAATATCTGCGCGTGCAAATTTTTTATTTTCTGCACAACTGTATTTGCACATTTTTTATTTTCTACATAGTTACGTGCACACATTTTTTATTTTCTACACAGTTGTACCTAATCATACTCTTCAATAAGAACATAAAAATGTGATTTCATAAGATATATAGTACCCTTTTAACTAGAATTCTAACTCAATAATCATAAAATGGTTTCCAAGAGTTGGCTTAGATTTGTGATTTGTTGAGAGCTACAACTATGATAGAATATAGAAACTCCAGTGTAGTTCTCCCACAACGAGATAAACAAACTTGATATTCTTTCACCTATTGTACTACATCAAGACATATAAACTTAAGAATTATAGATGTTTTAGACTTCTGATACACTACCGAATGGACATTTGAAGTTCTAATAGGAAACTCTAGGAGCCAAAAACAATTTCGAATTTAGTGAGGCTGCTATCAGAAAGGGAAAAAATGCTTCCGTTAAATGACAATCGAAGTTAACAATATGATGAAATCATTGTGTCCAGTACTCTTATCTGTTTTTGTCTCCAAACACTACATCAAGATGTATAAACTTGAAAATTATAGATGTTTTAGACTTGTAATGTAGTACCAAATGGACACTTAAAGTTCTATTTTTATGCATCACTGGATGGTTTCTTGGCATAATACTTGTACTGAAGCAACAATGCCTCTGCATTTTAGTAAGGTTTTATGTTTTTTTGGTACATTTCTTTTATCCAGAACATTTTTGTTCTTCTTTGATGGAAAAGAAAGCGAAAGCTCGAAGAATGATTTTTAAAAGATATAAATCTTTTTTCCTAGAAGATGATCATAGTTCTATGGATATCTATAATGTTTAGCAGTAAAGAAATTCTTAATTGCAACAGATTATGTAATAATGAACACTGGAGTTGTATTAAAACATTTTTAATGAAAATGACTAAAATGGTTGCTTGATCATGGCGATTGTTCTGATTCAAGGGGTCGGCATGGAAATTTATTCTTGCATTTGTGATAAAAATTTGAATTATTGGTCAATACATCTTAAAGCTTTCCTAATTAATTTTGTTTACTTCCTTGCAGCTTGCTCATGTTTCTGGATAGCTCTGGGAGAATTTTTGAAATTGAAGTTATAAGTCCAGATGCAAGTTTAGAAGATTCACAAGATTAAAATTATTCTGCTATGAAAGTTATGTAAAACATGATATATATTAGTGTTTTGCATGGAGATTTCAGTAGAAATCTTATATTTATTGATTTTTTAAAAAATTTATGATATGAAGCTCTAGAACCATTCGTAATCAATTAGAAATAAGGTACTTTCTCGTCCCTAAAGGTTACTTTAGGATGAGGTATTTTTTTTCCATGAAGTTTTATCTAGGACGAGTTAGTTTCTCATCCCTAAAGGTTCATCTAGGGTTAGGTGGCTTCTCGTCCCTAAAGGTTAATCTAGGACGAGGTAGTTGCTTATCGTGAAAGTGTATTAATGACTAGAAATTAAGTACATTTCAAAGAAGAAAATCATCTATTTGGGACGAGATATGTAGTCTCTAAAAGTGTTTTGGCGACCTGCGTTGTTTCCGTCTCTATAAACATTTAACGACCGGCAAAGATATCCCGTCGCAGTTAACTTTTAGCGAAGAAAGCTATTAGGATGGGTGGCGACCAGCCTTTTCCCGTCGCAATAGGCCATTTGGGACCAGTTTTGGACTTTTAGGGACTAGATTTCCCTTCCTTAGAGGCTGATTTTCTTGTAGTGAATACCATTCATACTAAGTACCAC